CCTTCAGATAGGATCCTCCAACAGCAATACCGTGCTCGTAACTACACTGTCTATTCCGAGCTCATTCACATGTTACTTCAGGCTGAAAAGCATGATGAGCTACTCGCTAAGAATGGCTCTCAGCACCCAGTTGGGGCACAACCTTTACCTGAAGTCCATCTGAATGTTGCAAATAGACAAAAGTTTAATGGTACCTTTCGGGGTAAACAAACCAATTTCGAGCATAAGCGAAAGCGTAATGGGAACAGGAGATCTAGATACCCAGGCAAGGGAAAAGGCACTTCAAAGCCCAGGTTTGATAAATCTAAGCTTTGCAACAAGTGTGGATGCCACACGCATTCTACTGAAAAGTGCACAATGCCCAAGCATCTGGTTATGCTGTACCAGCAATCACAGGGATGCAAAGCACCTCAAGGGAAAAGGTTTGAAGCCAACTTCAACCTTCATCCGGATAGCGCAAAAGGAGCTGGTGGTTCGCACGATGTTCCTCCTGGACCGAGCAACGCCGTGGTTCCTTATCTGCCTGAGGCTACTGCTGAAATGGAGAACATGTTGATTGAGTACACTGCAAACAACGTGTTTGGCGACTTCGACTAGTCCCTCAATCTCCTTAGTGATCTACTTAATTATGTCCATTTGTGATGATTGTAATAAGAACATAAGTTTATTGTTGTCTTTATATTGTATTGTATCAGCACATTTGATATAATAAAGATTGTATTCTATATATTACTATGAGTTTTTCTTATTGAAAATTCTTTTGTTTTATATAGTTTTCTACGGGGGCAATCCGATGGAAGAGGAATTATGCCTTGTGGACAGTGGTGCCACAAACTCCATACTGAGGGAGATGAAATATTTCCAAACTCTGAAAAAGACAAATGGAGATATTCTAACTATCGCTGGACGCGATACTGTGATTGTTGGTACTGGACGTGCCATATTCACCCTCCCAAGTGGTACATATGTGACAATTGAGGATGCTTTACTGTATCCCGATTCTGCACGTACCCTGATCAGTTATCGAGATATCCGTAAAAATGGTTTTCATATTGAAACCCATGAAGACAACAAAGAGGAATACCTACTCTTTACTAAAGATGACGGATATGGCAAAAAGGTACATGAGAAAATTCCTTCTCTATCGTCTGGTTTGTACTATACGTACATCAAACCCGTGAAACATGTTGCATACAAAGTAATTTTTCAGAATGTTAACGCATTCCAAACCTGGCATGATCGCCTAGGCCATCCTGGAATAGGGATGATGAGGAAAATTATTAGCAATTCCATTGGTCATAATTTGCTTGAGTCAAAATTTCCTCAATCTTCTGATTTTGTGTGCACATCTTGTGCCACGGGAAAGCTAATTTTGAGGCCCTCACACCTCAAAATACAAGCTGAACCACTTCAGTTCCTTGAACGTATTCAAGGAGACATTTGTGGTCCCATTCAGCCATTATCTGGACCTTTCCGGTATTTCATGGTTCTGATTGACGCATATACACGATGGTCACATGTATGTCTTCTGTCCACACGAAACCATGCATTTGCCAAGATAATGAGGCAAGTCATTAAGTTGCAAGCCCATTATCCTGAAAGTCGAATTAAGTCAATTCGAATGGACAATGCTGCAGAATTCTCCTCACGTGCTTTCAATGATTATTGCATGGCTTTGGGGATTGAAGTTCAGCACTCTGTTCCATATGTCCATACACAAAATGGTTTGGCTGAAGCATTGATTAAGAGGATCAAACTCATTGCAAGACCTTTGTTGATGAATTGCAATTTGCCAACCTCTTGTTGGGGTCACGCTATTTTACACGCTGCTGACTTGATACAATTGAGGCCAACTGCATATCACAGTTCTTCCCCTCTGGAATTGGTACGTGGAAATCCTCCAAGCATTTCCCATCTGTGTAAGTTCGGATGTGCTGCATACATCCCGATCTCACCACCACAGCGGACATCTATGGCCCACACAGGAAGTTGGGGATCTATGTGGGGTACAAATCGCCGTCAATTATCAAGTACCTGGAACCCCTGACTGGGGATCTGTTCATAGCCCGTCACGCTGATTGCATATTTAATGAGGAACATTTTCCGGCATTAGGGGGAGATTTCAAGTACCAGAAAGAATGCCCGGAAATTGATTGGAATGCTCATTCCATTTCATCCTCTGATCCACGTACCCAAGAGACCGAACTTCAAGTTCGGAAGATCATTAATTTGCAACATCTTGCAAATAATCTGCCAGATTCGTTTACTGATTTGAAAGGTGTTACAAAATCCTTAAACCCAGCCAGAAATGCACCGGAAAGAGTGGAGGTACCAACAAAAACCACTCAACTCCCTATTCCTAAAAAGAGGGGGAGTAGTGCGATCTCTGAACTGGAGCATGCTTCTAGCAAGCAACAAAGGAAATCGAGGAGAAAAACCTCGGAGTCAGTAAATGCAGGTCAACTCAACATTGACAAACACCTGATGGGTAGTATACACCCAGTGGAAGGGCAACCTCCACAACCCAGTTCCAGTGTGCACAAACTGACTGGGACATCGGAACACCCAGACTCGATCGTATTGGGAAATCACGAAGAGTCATTAGGGGTGCAGGAAATTTCCATCAACTATGTTGATTCTGGAGAATTATTTGACCGTAAGACTACGACTGTCGACATATATTTTGCTGACAAGATTGCAGATACTCTTCTCACTGATCATGATCCAAGGTCTATCGTTGAGTGCCAAAAGTGCTCCGACTGGCCTAAATGGAAGGATGCAATCCAAGCAGAAATTGCCTCGCTTAACAAAAGAAAGGTATTCACTGAAGCAATACCTACACCTCCCAGTATTTTCCCTGTGGGATTTAAATGGGTTTTTCTCCGGAAATGGAATGAGAACAATGAGGTGGTGAGATATAAAGCAAGGCTCGTAGCACAAGGTTTCACGCAGAAACCCGACATTGATTTCACTGAAACATATTCTCCAGTAATGAGTGCAACCACTTTCCGATATCTTATATCCTTGGCAGTGCAAAATCGTCTATCTATGCAGTTGATGGACGTCGTGACCGCATACCTTTATGGGTCACTAGATTCGGACATATATATGAAGGTTCCTGATGGAATCCCTATCCCGAATAAAAATGCAAAACGCAACATGTATTGTGTAAAGCTGAATAAGTCATTATATGGCTTAAGGCAGTCGGGACGGATGTGGTACAACCGACTCAGTGAGTTCCTTCTTCAGAAAGGTTACTCCAATAGTGCTGATTCCCATGTGTTTTCATCAAGAAGTCCTCTACAGGATTTTGCATCATTTCTGTGTATGTTGATGATCTCAACATCATCGGCAGCACACCAGACATTGATGAAGCACGCAATCACCTAAAGATGGAATTTGAGATGAAGGATTTGGGTAAAACCAAATTTTGCTTAGGTATTCAACTTGAGCATCTTCCTTCAGGAATCATGGTACACCAATCTGCCTATATCCAGAAAATATTGGAGAAATTCAATATGGACAAATCCTATCCATCTAAAACTCCCATGGTGGTTCGATCTCTAGACATAGAGAAAGATCCGTTCAGACCAAGGGATGATGGAGAAGAGGTGTTGGGACCTGAAGTTCCATACCTTAGTGTTGTTGGAGCGCTTATGTATCTTGCAAATTGCACAAGACCTGATATTGCATTTGCAGTGAATCTACTTGCTAGACATAGCGCAGCTCCCACCAAACATCATTGGTCTGGAGTGAAGAATATCTTTCGATATCTCCAAGGCACAAAGGATCTTGGCCTATTTTTCCAGTTCCAGAACAATCAGGACTCTGATGTATTTGGGTATGCAGATGCCGGCTATTTGTCTGATCCCCATAACGCCAGATCTCAGACCGGCTTTGTGTTCCTACATGGTGGTACTGCTATATCATGGAAGTCTTCGAAACAGACTCTGGTGGCAACATCTACCAATCATTCTGAAATAATTTCATTATTTGAAGCAACATGCGAATGTGTATGGCTTCGCAGAATGATAAACCACATACAACAGTCATGTGGAATGGGTTCGATAAAATCACCTACCATTATCTATGAAGATAATGCAGCTTGTGTTGCGCAGATGCAAACATGATACATCAAGAGTAATATCACCAAGCATATTTCTCCTAAATGGTTCTTTCCCCATAATCTTCAGAAAAGCGGGGAAATAAGCATTCTGCAAGTCAAATCATGCGACAACCTTGCTGATTTATTTACCAAGTCTCTACCAAATTCTACATTCCAGAAATGTGTTCATGGAATTGGTATGCGAAGACTTAGGGACTTGCAGGTGTCAGGGGGAGTCTCTTCTTGAGATATCCTCATTTTAATGACATCATATTATGCTATCTTTCTTTGTGAGTATATTTTTCAGGACCTCATCAAAGATTTTATGAAGAACTTTTGAAGGAGAATCTTTTGAGATGATAGAGCTTCCCGGACAATCGTGAAGATGATCTACATGGTCAAGCGTAGATTAGGGGGAGTGTTAAAAATAATTCTGTAATTAGGGGAAAATCTCCCCTTGCCCAAACCATCGTTGCGGTTTGTCCCGCAACCGACGCCTCCCTTCGATCTCCTGGAACCGACGCCTCCTCGAGGGATCGTCGTGTCTCTTCGGGAGATATAAAAGGGGACATGTAACCATCGTTGAAAGGATTCGATCATTCTGATTCAAAACATACTAACGTTAGCATCACCCCCCGCCAAAAAAAAACGTTAGCATCACCACCTGTCATCGTCGTCACAGCCACCAGCAAGGGTTCCCGAACTCCAAGAGGCAAGGGGCACAAAATGTGCACTGTCAACCAAACCATAGATATCCGAGTCTCCGCAGAATGGCCTTCACGAGCTCCCTATCTGTATCTGCTACATACAAGTTCAGTGAACCCAAGGAACATGTGCTCTTTTCACAAGTCCAAGCAGCACAAAGCCATGTCGATTTCCAAGCCGAATCCTTTCTCTATGCAAAAGGATTGCCAGTAGATACAGTGCTCAATGTTATGTTCCTGAAACAACAGGTTGAGCTTTAGCACAAAGATGGAGTTGACGCTAGAGCTTGTTTGGTTTGCTCCCTAATTTTGTCAAGCCAGAGTTCTGGAAATGGCTACAGATTTGGCCTCCAATTGGTTTGGCTCCAACTTGTGGTGGAGCCGATGCGATTTCCGCAAGGCTGCCACCGAAACGTCGGCATTGCCATTTTTGTTGGCTCTTTTGTGTTGATATAAGAAACTAATAACCTTGCCTACTTTTGGCTTGGCAATTGGCAGCAAACCGAACAACCCCAATGCGGTAGCAAACCGAACAAATAGTTGGTAAGGCCAACTATGCCAAGGCAGAGCATATTACCTCAATGGAAAGTTTGGGGCCTGCTCGACAAGACATGTTAATCCACCTGAATATGTGTTAGTTGTTACAGTTAGATGAACTCCACGTACGCAGTAAATTAGGCAAACCATATAAAGATGCTACCAGTAAAGCTCACCATGTGATCCAGACGGAACATAGGTACAAGTATTGTTGGAGAACCATGATTCAGGCAAACCATCAAGAAAAGTTATTGGTAAATTAGGCAAAGCAGCTTGCAGCATGCTCATGTCCATGAACTGCAAATGAAGTGTAATTCAGAAAATTGCTGGCAAGCACCAGGAAGCTGGCAATGACAAGGACTAGAACTGTAAGCAAAGATAAATATATTTTCTATAATATCACGCACAAAAGACAGTTCATACTCAATGCATAGACAGAGTTTCTAGTTCTTAGTACAAAATCACAAGTAAAGTGGTCTCAAATCTTCCAAGGAATGCAATTTAATTTTACAAACACATGCCATCTTTTGAAGACCAAACCATGTTCAAATTCAAATATTCTTGTTACCAATGTCATCCTACTTCATGCCCATGGCTGTGGCACCACCGCAACCTCGCCACATCCCAACCATCCATCCACGGCCAAGAACCACTAAGTAAACTTGGTGCACTCGGACTGGTTGAGGTGGTGATTGGTGGTGCCACGAGTGGTGATGCGGATCCAATTCCAAAGATAGGAAATTTGGCTGATTTCCCAGAAAGAATTCAGCTTCTTTAAAAAAATCTACTCATGTAGTATAATAGTGATCTAGATTATTTTAATTTGTTGAAAAAAAATGAAGGAATAGCCGTAACAAATTTATGTATGACAAGTTATTTGGGTAAGATAAAGATTCGAAAACTGGCCATAGTGCACTGGCTTGTCCCTGCTATAGGAGAGGCTTGACCATCCACAAATCTTTTTATTTAATTGGATTCTACTTGATTTAAAAGACAATCATATCCCACATGAATACTTACAATTCTTTCTACCTCTAGGTATATTTTATCATACAACTACTTCGAATAGACATGCACATGCAGTGGCATGCTTTATTGGACCATTTTCATTTTAAATTTTTTCAACCAGTTACAAAGACCCAATAGTTTAGGTAAATCTGTTTGTCAAAAGGCATTAACCACAAAATGAAGCATCATCAACTACTTGGAAAGCAGGGATCATAGAAAACCGACAACACTATGTTCACTTCTTTAAGCCTTCTGGTAGCATGAAGTACAGATAAGGCAAAGAAGAAATGGAATACCAGATTAGTAGCCTCTGAATCAGTACCAAAGGGGAGATCAAATGGATTTAGCACAATCTCATCAGCAAAGGGTTTTCCCTGTACATGATCAAATCACATCAGAGAGCAATGGTCTAGAAGAAGAAAAATATTCTTAAATGGTTTATGAAGTAGAGAAGCCATACTGAAGGAACATCAGATATTGGAGATGGCTCTAGGAAAGGAGCAAATGATGCACTTAGAGCTAATTCATCCATGAACACATTATGGCAATCATCACCATGAGATTTCTACAGAGAATAACAGTTATGATGCTGTGTTATTTATGAACCACATGCAAAATTTAACAGGGAAAAAGGCTACCTTTGAACTAATAGGGCAACTAAAAGGATTGTTGGTAACATCGACTACATTTGTGAGCTCATTACTTAGTGACTCAGCACCAGAGTGATCATTAGAGATGATCCCAGTTGCATCATCAAATGAATGCCATAACTGCAAATACACAACAAGGAGGAAGTGACTTGAAGCTCTGGAAAGGCAGTTAAAACACATAATCAATAGAAGAATGGTACCATAACATCCAGAAGTAACCTTATTATTCAATTTCATGATTCCCAACCTGAGAACTTATCCTATCCATTGGTTCTATTACACTCCAACAATTTTAAAGTCATGAATGAGATATCTTTCCTGTTTGTTGGGAACTGCTGCTACCAGCAGTGACATCACAAACAATTAAAAATCCAAGGCTGGCAAATTAACAATAACAGCTTTTACATAATTTGGAGCACAATGAAGACAAAAAAAAACTCAGAAACCAAACAGTAAACCACCCTTTTCTGAAAGTGCAAATTAACTGCACACATTAAAAGAGATGCAACAGTACAATTACATAATTCCTCGCCTGATAATTATTTTTACTCTTTAGATTTTTGCAAGTTAGAAGTCATTAGTGATAGATCTCCTGGCAGATTTTTAGTGCAAGTGCCATCATAAATGCTCCAACATTGAGCAAATTCAAAATATTAACTTTCTTAAGATGTAAAGCATGACAAGGCTAATTCCACAGTAGAACACTGGAACCTCATAGTACAATCATTCCTTTTGAGTTCACACATTTCACAAAATTGTAAAAGCTTAAGTACCATTCACAAAGTTAAAAATTGTAAAAGCTTAAGTACCATTCACAAAGTTAATTACCCTATATTATTTGCATGCACCTGTTGCCATGAACAAATAGAAACATAGAGAACTCCTAGAGCAACGCAAATATTCCTTACCTGAGAGCAACCTGTATCAAGAGATGTAGCACCAGACTGATTGCTGATTGAAACTTCGTGCTTGGAAGTCGGGAACAATGTTGGTCTATCAGTTGTTTCGAACGAAAACAAATCACGACCCAGAATCTGTTTATGATTACCTACGTCAGCTACAGGAGAGGGACCAGTGACTCCAGGCTGTTTATCTGGGGGCGTGTCAAATGTAACCCACCCAGCATTGCCCATTGATGGAGCTTCCAGTGGCACTTTATCAGCAGATGAAGCTGTATGAGGCATATTTGCAAACAAATCTACAGATGGATGAGCTTCCAGTGGCATTTTATCAGCAGATGAAGCTGTATGAGGCATATTTGCAAATAAATCTACAGATGGATAGCCAGTTATAGGTTGTTGCTGCAAATTTGGCTGACTGTAGAGATCCTCTTTTGTACCATTTACAGCAGCAGAAAAGGCTACAAAACTTGGAGCTGCAGAATTGTTGGATTGCTGAGTTCGGTGAACATTCTCAAAATCAAAAAACAAATCAGCTAAGCTTGAGTTGCCTGACTTAAGCGATGTGGAATCTATGTTCCCTGTTGATGCAGTTCTCTGCAGAAAAATAATTAAATTTATTAAGCGACTTTATGAGATGCAACAAAGGAAAGAGGATAAATTCCAAAATCAATCACCTGGGATTGAGTGATGCCATTAGAACTCAGCATATTTGATTGATTTTGTTGGACAGGAGGGCTTAAACACCCATCATCGAAGAAATCAGGTGATTTGGGTGCTGTTCCTAAGGTACCACGCATGCTTGACCCTGAGCAGTAAGAAGTTCTCGGTCCACGACTCTCATTTGCAAATTGGTCCTCGGACATTCTCTCTTGCAGGCTATGTGAACGACAAGAAAATCCAGGCATCTTCCCATCATGCCCTCGGTCTGAACTAGGTTTCCTACTTAGCATTGCAGGTTGCTTGCGATTGCGCCTTTCTTCATATTGGTAGTCATTAGGTGGGCTCTGAGAAAATGATTGATAGGAACTAGCCCTTCTATGTTCCTCTTCATGGGATCTTTGAATCTTCATAGATGGAGTAGAGTATAGTTCAGCAAGACGCAATGTTCTCAGATATTGTAGGAAAATAAAAACCATCATTGCAGCATATATGTAGGAAAGCCAACTGGAAGAAATCAGTCCTTTAAAGGAGAAATAATAGATGCACTTTAAGCCACCTGAATGAGTATTCACTAACATCTATGTGTACTGCAGCGGTTGTGCTAAAGCTTATCACAGCTAAAGTTCCAGACTGACGAAGATAGGTTTCAAGTAGTCAAACAGCTGATGTCGAGAATTTAACTAATTGTACCTGTATATCTCTTGGAGGCCTTTCGGACAAACTTACACCAGCATATCTTCTCTCCACATAAACAGCATTTATGAATTCTCTAAGGCTTTCAATGTTACTGCGTCAAAACAAAATAGTCACATCATGTACCATATCCCGTTAAATAACAAACCAAAGAATGTATACACGGCAATGAGTTGATGAAGTTATGTACCTGCTATCAGGTACCCTCATTTGCTGGGTATCAAAATCCTTCAACAATAATTCTCTGGCTCGCTGTATCATTCAGTTTAAGTGTTAGGATATGAACCAAAAGGGAATTCCCAGAAAACCACCAACAAAACAAACAGGCAACCAACTGGATGTATGACTTTTACCTGGTTCCCACCCTTTTGAAGGGCCTCAACCTCTTGCACGGTGAACTTGGACATAGACACCGATTTTACTCGGTGCGTGAACTCACGGCTACAAGTGCATAAATGGTTCCAGTGTGTTAGAATAACAGAAGTCAGCAGACCATTAGCATATGCAAGACTAGAATGACTAGAATTGGAACATTCACACACAATGGATAAGTTGTATAGAGTGTGCCAATAATTTGCCATACTGTGTCACTATCAGTAGAACCTCCCAAGCAGTAATCTGACACACAGTTCAACAGTACAAGTAAAATTGATGGCTGGATCGCGCTGGCTAGGCTTTCCAATTCCACAAAGTTGAAGAAACGATAGATCACCCGGGGATGGAATACAAAAACACTCACTGGATGCCGCTGCAGGAGATGCAGATGAATGTCCAGAAGCTCGTGCAGACGTACTGCGGCCCCTGCATCAGACGACACCACACAAAAACAGGGCCGTCAGTAAACACCAGACAAGATCGGGAGCATCAGCAAGCGATGCAAACCAAAACCAAAACCAAACCGCGCACGCGACTGGAGTAGAAATAAGAAGCCCTTACGATGGCGTTGCAGTTGATGCATCTGCGGTTGGGCGGCAGCTTGAGGAGGCCCCTCACGATCCGCTCGTTCCTCTCCTCCTCCTTCCTGGACGAGGCCGCCATCACTGAACCCAACCCCAATCGAGCCTGGAACCCGTCGGTGTCGAGGCCTCGAGGCGACTCGGCTTGATCAGGGAGCGCGGAGGAGGGACCGCCCGGCGCTTCGAATTAGGGGAGCGGCGAGGAGGACCTGGTGGTTGTGCGTGGGCCGGCCTGTGTGTGTGTGTATGATGCGGTAGGGGAGGCCGTTGGAGGAAAATAACCGGTAGCTGCAACGGCTTTTATTTTTAAAACATGATCAGTTTGGTGCTGCTTAGGGGGTGTTTGTTTCCAGAGACTTTTTGGTGTAGGGACTAGAAAAAGTCCATAGCAAACCAAACAGGGTGGGACTTTTTTGAAACCTTTTGCTAAAAGTCCTTAGAAGCACCTCCTTGAGAGTCTTTTTCAAAAAGTTTCAAGGACTAAAAAAAGTCTTACGACTAGAGAAACAAACACCACCTTAATGGCTTTGCCTTTGCCTCCGGCCGATGAAGCTGTGAGCAGTCTGCTCGAACGATGAAGCCGATGAGCGGTGAAAAGACAGATTGGGGACCCTCACACTACTGGTATAGGCCAACGGCTGGTGTTGGTTGCTCAACAGCTTACAGCTAATACCGATGCCGGTCACTTGTTTGGCAGGAGAGACTGTAGGGACACATGGATGGGCGTTGGTGCTGTTGGATTCGAACTGCTGTACAGCCAGGATCAGATCATTTTCACAACCACCAAAGACACACAGCATGGTCCATTGCATTGCACTACTAGATCTCATCTCAACACCTCAATTTTTCTATTTTTGTTTTGAAACAAGGGCAAAAGCTTTGCATTATCTCACTCATAGAGAAGAATAGGAACAAGGTTCATGAGGCCCATTACGCCTCAACAAACAGAAGAAGAAAACCCTACTGTCACGGCATGATTGAGCTCAAATGCTTAGCCCCAGCGAGAATCAATTTTTGGCCTCCCCTTATGTTATCAATAACACTAAAGGGCATTGATGCCATGTTGCGGAAGATCCTAGCATTTCTCTCTTTTTAAACCTCCCAACATGAGTAGCGAGAAGATCACCTTCCTCCAGTGACCACGACGAAGAACCATCGCCTTTCCATCAAGATTGGACCGAATTTAGCCCTCCTCAAGTAGTAATGGCAAGCTCCGGAGCATCAATCCCAAATTTGACAGCAGCCCAAACTCCGAGGGCGTATCTGCACTTGAAAATAAGGTGCACCGCCGACTCCTACTCGTTGCGAAGCTGACACAACCCACAGTTGGGCCATCTACCATTTTGCAAACGGTCGGCCATCTAGATTCTTTTCTTGATGACGAACCAAGCAAAAAATTTGCATTTCGAGAGCGCCCAATTTCTCCAGACAGTCGACACCATGGTACTGTGGATGGAATTTATTCAGACCATCCACACTACCATGGTGACAGCTGTCTGAAGGGGTGATGGAAAGGCCCTCGGTAATGTCAATCTTAGTAATCCAGGAGTGGTCAAGCAAAGCATCATGAACAGTGACATTCATCTTCTTGGATAGACTGGAGATGGAAGGACCTATGTCTTTTGGTTTAGACCCATTAAGCCAGAGAGAATGCCAAAATTTCGTTGTGCGCCCGTCCCCAACGGCGATGGTGGTGGCCGCTTAGAAAAAAGTCCATATCGACATTGTTACAGGGGTTGCCTAGGCCCACCCAAGCCCAGGTCAGCTCCTTCCACGCGAACCAAGGCCATCTCAAGCGCAAAGCTCTGGCATATTTGCGGAGATCGAGGCCTGCTCAAGCCGCCCAACCTCTTAGGCCTACAAACCAAATTCCAACTGAATTTACATTGCCCGCCAAAGGCCTTGTTGGAGCCTGAACAAAGGAATACCCGCTAAATCTTCTCGGAGGCATTTAGCGTGCCCTTGGGAGGACCAAAATCGTGATGAGATAAGTAGCTTGGGAGGGTAAGCACCGCTTTGACCAGCTTCGTCCTGCTGGCAGCGGTGACAAAACGTGCCTGCCAAGGTACAAGCTTCCCTGCGGATTTGTCAACAATGTACTGAAGGTCAATTTCCTGAGGCGGTTAATCGACAAAGGGAGTCCAAGGTATCTCACGGGGAAAGCAGAATGACTGGCCGAGGAACTCTAAAGGACAGAGTCGAGGTCGATGCCAGTACATCTGATTGGAGCGACGTGGATCTTCTCTAACTTGTGACAAGACTCGTCACCTCACCAAAACCATTGAGGATTGCAGTTAGATGTTGAATATCATCCACAATGGGGGTTACAAAGATGGCCGTGTTGATGACATACAAGGATGTTTGGATGCAACCTGCCCTCCCACCGATCCGATGTAAATGACCATGATGAGTGGCAATATCCAGGAGGTTTTGAATAGGGTCGATAGCCAACACAAAGAGGAGGGGTGATAATGGGTCACCCTGCCGGAGGCCATGCTTAATCGGGTCACCCAAGATACCATTAAACCAAACCCTCGAGGAAGATGAGTGTAGCAGGGCAGCGATCATGTCTCTGAATCTAGGAGGAAAACCACAGTGGAGAAGAAGATCAAGAAAATAGTCCGAGCAGATCAAGCAAATACATGATCAATATTTTTTCAGATATATGTTTTGATGTCTACTTTTTTAATACACATTTTACATTTTTTGTATACACGTGAAACATTCTTTGGATACACGTTGAAGATGTTAAGAGGAAGATGGTTGACAAGCGTACGCCGGTACGGCGATGGGAGCTGACAAAATCAATAGAAGATTCCGCGAGCAAATTTATCTATTGGTCGGAAGCAAGCTCCACATGTGTCTGGGAAGTCAGATCAAGCTGCTTAGGAGAAATCCTCTCAAACAACACCATCTGCTTAGATGAACAATGCTTTTGATGCTCATGTGCGTGAAATTGAATGTGTCTTGGATCCGAAGCATAGTGAAATGATATGTGTTTAACTATTGGGATTCACGACATTATGTTGGAAACTATGTTAAGTCGAAATCTTTATTTATCTGCCATCGGAATATTGTTGGAAATATGGCCTAGAGGCAATAATATTGTATTATTATATTTACATATTCATAATTAAGTGCTATAACTTCTATGATCCCAGAATATGCGATCCAGTGAAAACTCATATGCACGTGTGGAATGATAAATAGTAAAATAAGGTTCCTAGTCTTGCCTCTAAGACTGACTCAAGTGTTGTTGGTGATCATATTTTCTGGATCTTAGGATATCATTAACAATAGTCCTAAAACAACACTAAGAATATGACTTTAGAAGAACGACCATATTGAATCAACCCAAACTTATTTGTTATAGTTTGAGGTAATATCATCTGAAATCAATTGTTATAACACAGGGTGTTGTTTTTTAGTTCCTTAGACCATGAGAGTATCGTAGTCCCTTATTACCGTATAGTGGACTTTGGGGTTGCTCAAACATCATCTGTAACACGATGATCATAACGACAACTTATAGGTTCATTTGAAAGTTTGACAAGGGACAATATAGCTCGAGAGTGGAATTTGCTCCTTCGATGATGGAGAGATATTCTTAGTGCCCTCTTGGTATGATGGAATCTACCATTGTCTGGCCAGACACAGGTGATTATGTCGCAGGGATGCAGCATATTTCAACGAGAAAGGAGAACAAAACCGGTAACGAAGATAACGGTATAATGAGCATGTGTATGACTCAAGAGGATACTGATACATCTCACCTCTGGTTTTGTAAAGTGTCGTGAAGTAAAGGGAATAGCACATGATAACCAAAGGTTCACTCAAATATCATTCATGTACTCATAGGGATCGATATGGACGTTTACGGTTCCGTTATCGGTCATTGAACAAAGGGGTTTTGTTCATGTCTATGTTTTACCAAACCTACAGGGTCACAAACTTAAGGAAATCTCAGTCTGCTAAGTATTATTAGGATGGGAGTGATGAGGATTTATTTTTAAAATAGTTTCGATAATATCCGAAATAGTTTCGAGAGGAACGGGAAGCGTTTCGGGGTCACTGGAAGGGTTTCAGAGTTTATCGGGCAATATCGAGTATTACCGATAAATAATATATAATGAAAAATGTTTCCAGAGATATTAAATTAATAATAATAAAGGATCTATTAATTGTTAGTAGGCTTTTTTATTGTTAATTTAGGACGCCGATAACCACCACACGTGTGGTGGAAGCAACGCCCGACCACACGCCCCATGACCACAGATTGCGCCACATCATCGCATGCATGCACAAGTGACGAAACTGATGATGTCAGCAGGAACGTTTTTTTAGTTTTTAAAATGTTTTATCTCTTAAATGAAAATTACGATTTGAAAACTCTTATCATCATTAAATTTGTTGCGACGAGATCTTCAAAACTAGATCATGTATCGATATGTTTCGACGATTTTTTGGGGTTAAAAGTTGCCATGTCTATTGCACATATGCTATGGTGTTTACACTGAAATTGCCATTATATGTTTCAACTACCTTTTCTTTTACATTTAAAGTAAATTTTGACATGTTATAAAATAGAGAATTAAGAAACTAAACTTGCCATGGTGAATTACTAAAATTTGCCGTCATTCATGAAATAATTTTGACATGGTTCATAAATTAAAAATAAATCCACTGTCAATTACTTTAAAAATGCATGGTCAATGACTCATATTTGCCATGAACCATAAACTAAAATTGCCATGATGGATTGCTTAAATTTGCCATGATACATGCACTAAATTTTGCCATGGTTCATACAAAAAATAATTTTCATGGTCAAAAGTACTAAAATTGCCATGATCTATGAACTAAATTTACCATAATGAATTACTAAAAACTGCCATGACCCATGAATTAAATTTTTCGTGGTTAATTACTAAAAATTGCCATGGTCAATTAATAAAAATGGCCATGAAAAGTAGTTAAAAATACAACGGTAGCTTTAAATCTAGAAGAAGAAAATAGATGAAACATATCATGACAACTTTAGTATACTCTATGTGAAAGTGCGTTAAGTCGACTAGAGGGGGG